CCAAGATACAGTATGGAGCCAGAATCAATTTCTCATAATGAGAATATACACCTAGATGGAAGTAGTGGTAAGAAAAAGAATGATCTGGAAAAGCAACTTAAGGAAATAGAACATGTAGAGAATTTCATCCTTGCCTCGTAAATCATACTTGAAGGGGAAATTAAGTACATCGATTTCGTAGCACATTAAATATTTCAGGAAATGTTAACACAATTTGTTCGTTCAAATGGATATGGCAATTGCATGAGACTTTATATAAGATTTACATGAGGATTCATTGCCATATCATATAAATGTAGGGAAGAGGATTATAAGGTTGAGAGAATAATTATTCTGGATAAGGTAAAAGAAGAATTACGGAAAATATGAAATTCTAAAAACTTCCAAGAGACGAATTTAATTAGATAGACAACATCTTGAATTAGCTTCCATCGATATGTGATTTCCTTTATGAATCATCAGACATATAAGTATATTTTAAGGAGTTAGGAACACCATGTACTATATTACTAAAAGTGATAGGTGACCAAATTAGTGTGAGATATTATAAGAAGTTAGACAATCTGGATGTGAAATGACTTAATAAATTATAGAACACAAGGGAATGGCAAAAATTGCTTTCGATGAAATCATGATAGGCCAATTGCGTTACTTTCAAACAAGTTGATATATTCAAACAATCCTGTTCTTCAATTATGGACTATAAACTACCGCGGGCAGTCCATACCAATATATATTCATTATAAATATTATTATTGGCTTGCTGCCATTATATTCATTGTATACTAAAGATATATGAGGGGCTATTTAATAAAATATGAAAACTGGCAAATTAGGCAGTAACTTAATATTTTTTGAACTTAATTATCAGCATTCTTTTTTTATAAAATCTCTTATAAGTGATCTAGAGCACAGTTTAGCTATGAATGAATTTTTGAAATGTCTGCATGTTCACCTAACAAAGAAATCATTTACTTTTACTTTTTGGAGCAAATATGCTATCTTCAAATAACTGATTGATTACATCCTGAAAACCATTAAATGGTAATAAGAGAGCAAAATAATGATTTGAAAATAACACCACTAAAATACGTGTATCATATAGAGAAAAAATATTAATCCTTACGTAAATCTATCTCAATTTGAAGCTTTGAGGTTATTCTTTAAGTAGAATTAAATGTATATTTTGGGAACGATAATTAAAAATGCATGAATGATATGTATTTATTGTGTCAAAAAAATAATTCTTACAGGAAATTGTTATATTAAAAAGTTA